ACCCAGTTTTCTGTTTTCGTAGACTATAAATAAGGAGTCAAACCTTCCATTTGATAAGGGATTGAAATAAAAGGTGACTTGGAACACCAAAACTCAATTCCAAGTGGCGGCTCTAAATAATAAATAATCCCTTTTCAAAACGTCACTTTAATTGGAAAAACTCTTCTAACTCAACCTCGTAATAAGGGTTGCGGGACAAAAAGAGGTGTGACAGCTCTGGCGACTCTGCTGGGGAGTAATTAATAAGAATTCGAGCTTTGTATATTGATTCTTATTTGGCTTTTATCATGTTTTGGATATTATTGTGTTTGGGAGCCTAATGTGCTATTTGTCGCTTATTTACCGCTTTAATATTTATGTGAACTATTATATAAATTGTATCCTCTCTCGCACCCCTCTGAGTCTTCTGATAGGTAGTTATGTTGTGTTTGCCTACCGGCATCACAAAATTTCTGTCTTGAGATAAAGCCAGTTAGTCTACCAGCTTCTGGTGAAGGATTTAATCACACATGTTTAGGCAGGAGAGCCGTTAGCTAGCCAGAGCTGTTCTGCTACTGGTGACGCTTGACGCTCCTCGGCTCGGGTCGTCCACCCAGTTAAGCCAGGTCTAGATACCATCTCCTTTAGGATTTGAAAACTTAGAATAAGCCATGAGCAATGAATATCCCTAGTAGGCTACACTTTATTTGCATCATGTGCATTAGACTTAGCGGGACTTAGCACAGGGGCCGGACCCTCTAGGACAGGTACCAATTTTTCAGACCAACATGTTCATTTTGTTTTGCTACATGTAACATTATTTGGTAGGCTTTACTAAAATATTGACCGGCTTTAGGATAGATTGATTGAACAGGGAAGAGAGAAAGAGAAAATTTCTTCAAAATTTTCATAAAAAAACCATTTTTTTTAAAATAAAATTTTGAAGGGTTCTATTGTGTAAAATCACAATTTTTAAAATATTTTTTTAATTTATTTAAATCGAACTATACGGGTTTGATTCTCACCGGATGTGAGATACGTAGGCAACCTTCATCAGGTTCAACCCCATTAAAAACAATTAAAAAAACAAAAAAAGTTGTCTATGGACTATTATTGTTTTTATTTTCAAATAATAATAATAATAATAATAATAATGTAGTCACTTTGTCAGTTTTATCTCTTTTGACTAGTTTTGTCCTTGCGTCCGGTCCTTTTGTCGAAATAGCCTTGAAACCTTCCTTAGAAATGCGAAATGGTCGTTTTAACAAAAGAGGCCAGTTTTTTTTTTCTGTTCACTTGTTTTTACGAAAACATAGTCATTTTGAGCCTTTTATTTTTTAATTTCATGATTATTTTACTAATGTAATTTTTTTTTTAGTCCCACAATTTGGCTTTTATTTTTTATTTTTATAGAGTCAAAACCCAAGAAATCTGATTTTTTGTGTCCATAATATATTTTATTAAAGCCTAACCTCGTGTCTGGGTAAACATGTACACCATGAGTGGGGAAGGAAGTAAATCTAAAATGAGGCCCAGATCAGAAGGGATACCGAATTTTCTAATTGTCGATCAAATACCGCAGTTGTTGTGGGATTGGTGGAGAGATTTTAAGGAATATGAGCGAAACCAAATAAAGAAGTACTTGGGACATTTAGTTCACATGATGACGATCAAGCCCAGGAGGGATGTGATCGAAGCTTTGATTCCGCACTGGAATCCTGAAAATAATGTGTTCATTTTTACCAACTGTGAAATGACTCCGACCTTAGAGGAAATCGCCCATTTTCAGGGGTGGGGCTGCAGTCTTCGCCGCCAAAGGCCCATAGTACCAAAAAATATGAATGAGGGTAAGTTTCTGAAACTCCTGAACATAAATTACGGACAATATAAAGGTTTAGGAGGCAAGTGAGTTAAGTTGGGATTTCTGTTTCACTTGTATGGCCTAGAATGCTATTTCGAAAAGAATGTGGGAAAATTGAAATCAAAGGAAAATAAGAAAATATGGAAGGTTCACAGAAGGTTTGCGTTTATGGTTGCTTTTTTGGGGCGTGTAGTTTTTCCGGAAAGGGAAGGACGCATTGACCTCCGCTTGGCAGGTGTAGTTGAGGCTCTGACTTTAGAAGGGGATGATTATACTTTGGTCCCTATGATTCTTTCTTGCATTTTTCGTACTTTAACTAGATGTAAATTAGGCGCGCGAAACTTTGATGGCTGCAACATTTTGCTACAGATATGGTTTTTGGAGCATTTTTATCGTCATCTTACGATCACTGATTTTAGGGAGCTATGGCCCAATCATACTTATGATCACCAGAAAAGAATTGACGAATGTGACTTACCAGAAGGGATAGATGCCTGGAAAGAACTAATTCTTACTCTTTCCGCCAAACGGATCACTTGAAATTATGATTGGTTTTCCTCTAAAGAGGTCATCTGTGAGTCTGCATACCATTCTTATTTGGTACTCATAGGTTTGGATGGTGTTTAGCCCTATGCTCCACTTCGGGTAAAGCGCCAGTTTGCACGACTACAAGAGGTGCTACCAACACAAGATATGAGCAAGTCCTGTTATGATTTTGGTAAAGATAAACCTCATCACGAAGAAGAAATTATAAAAATTTAGTATGCAAGTAAAGTCTCGGAGTTGAATGAGATGGTAGAAGACAGAGATCGTGGAGAGGTGATCCCTGAATATATTACCTGGTTTAATGATCCTTCGTCATTTGGAGATAGGCATGAGGGGTTGAATAGGAGGAGAAATGATCAAAGAGCTATAGAAAGGCTGAAAGAGGAATTGGAGCATGCTCAGATGACCATAGCCAAGCAACAAGCCGGAGTCGCTCAGATTTATTTAAATATTGAGAAAGATTATCAATTTGCCTTACGGGTCATGGATAAAGATCTAAAACATGCTAAAAATGAGGCGGCCCGCTTAGAAGAAGAACTGGCAAACATGATTGGTTTAGTCAGAAGAGTTGAGGCGAACAAAAATGCTGAAATACATAAGTTGCAAGAATACTTGAGTATCATTGAATAGGATGCGCACCAACAACAATTGGAGTTTGATCAGCAGAAAGAGCAGTTTAAAAGAGAAAGGGCCCACTGGATACGCTCAAAGGGTCAGCTTCATGCACAATTAGAAAAAATAAAAAGGCAGAAGAGGGGTCATCAACATGCAGATTTTGAGGCAGAGCGACGTCAGTAGATGATTGAGAGAGGTGTGCTAAACCGTCGCATTGAAGAATATGAGGGACGGGAGGCTCAGATAGGGCACGCCCTCAACACTACCAGATGTGGTTGCAGAATTGTCACGTGAATATGGGGCAAGCTAGAGAGCAAGTACTTTGATTGACAGAAAAAGCAGCATATATGCATGATGATCATCGCCATCTAAACAATGAGAAAGTTGGTCAACAGGCACGTGCCCTCGTCCCACAGTTGCCCGTGGTGTTTCAAAATTTGTACGAGACTTTGGGGGGAGAATTGAGGCCAAGAGATATAGATCATTGATGATATCAATTTAAGCAAGAAGACCATTGAAGACTAAAGTTTTAGTGCAATCAATTAGCTTTTAGTTTCATTTTCGTTTGTCGCATTTTAATTTAATATTTGGAGTCTTTTATTCTTATCAATATTTATTTTATTCCAGTCATGTTCATGTCTTTAGAGTTAGTAGAGTCAATTTCTATATATTTTCTTTTCTCTCATTGTATATATAAAAAAATTGATTGAAAATGAATGAAAAATATTTTAGTTTGTTTTATTTTATTTTTATAAAAAAAAAATCAAAATTGTTATTATTTCTCCCCTGAACTACGTAATGGTCTGATTCATGCGGCGTCATGATACGTAGGAAATCCTCATCGGATGCGATCATAGCCATAATTAATCTAAAAAAGAAAGGAAAAAAAAAGAGGAAAGAAAAAAAGAGCATTAAATACAAGAGGAAATAAATCAATAAGCCGGGATGAAGCATGAAGCCTTCCAAGATCATTTTAGAAATGAAAATGGCATTAGGTGCATGACATACAATGTGTGATTAATATCTGCAAAATGCCTAACTCTAACACGTTTGTTGTTTGTCATTTTAAAAGATAAAGTTAAACAGAGGTGGTTGGTTTGTGGTTTAAACTGGCGACTCACCCTTACAACACAAGATCAAAAGGAAAAAGTAGAATGGCAAACAATAGTGAGAATGAGTCAGATAATGATGATGTCCATGGACAATTAGTTGAACAAGGTTCAGGACTGGTTGAAAAAGTAAGAGTCTTGAAACAACAATTGGCAGAGATGTACCAAGCCTGGGTGAATAGACATGCACCGCCGCCTTCGGATAATCTTCATAATGTGTTAATTGCAAATCAAANGCAAATCAAGTGCCCATCTCCATAACAAGTAACCCATTGTACCAACCTGGATTTAGTCCGAGCATTAACCTTCCCACTATCCCCAGTACCTCCATTCCACGTCCTCCAATGGCACCCCTCAGAAATGACCCACCTACTGTATCCATTGTCCCTACTTTCACTGTTCCTCAACCGACTCTTACTCAAAAGTCCAACAATGATCCACAAATGAATGCTCATGATGCCCAATATTACTCTCCAAAACTGGCTTTCAAGATTCCAGATTCATACAAGCATACTCCTCAGAATGTGTTCCCAATCGAGATCGAAAAACCCGACAAGAATATGGAACAAAAGGAAATGACCAGAAAAATGAAGAGCCTGGAACAAACCATGAGAAACATACAGGGTTTCGGAGGCCACAAGAGTGTTTCGTTTAATGATCTATGCATATTCCCCCATGTTCATTTGCCACCCGGCTTCAAGACCCCCAAGTTTGACAAGTATGATGGGCATGGTGATCCCGTTGCCCATTTGAAGAGGTATTGTAACCAATTAAGGGGAGCAGGAGGCAAAGAAGAATTACTCATGGATTATTTTGGGGAAAGTTTGATAGGAATTGCTTCAGAGTGGTTTATAGATCAAGACATATCTCACTGGCACATTTAGAACGACATGGCTCAAGATTTTGCCCAACAGTTTCAGTACAATATTGATATAGTTCCAGACCGCTCCTCTCTCGTCAACATAAAGAAGAAACCAACAGAAAGCTTCAGAGAATATGTAATCAAGTGGAGAGAAAAGGCTGCTAGGGTCAAACCACCAATGAAAGAGGAAGAAATGATTGACTATTTTCTCCAAGCTCAGGATCCTGATTACCTCCATTACATGTTAGCCGCCATTGGTAAACCTTTCGCTGAGGCGATTAAGATTGGTGAAATAGCTGAGAATGGCATGAAATCGGGAAAAATTGTGAGTCAGGCAGCCCTTAAGGCGACCACCCAAGCAATTCAAAGCGGATCAGGCAGTTTCGGAAATCGAAAAAAGAAAGAGGAAGGATCCATGATGGCATCTGGGTTCGGGGGAGTTCAAAGAAGAATAGTTCCTTCTTATGTGCAATTCCAACAAGGACAATCCAATTCTCCTCAACATTACTATCCATCTCAGGGTCCCCATTACTTAGTTCCCCCACAACAATACACAGTGTTTAATGCTCATGCTTATGCTAGGCCTCCCAATCACAAGCAATGGCGCACACCGATTCCACAAGGCTCCCATCAACTCCGGCCGAATTTTCAGGCGCCATATAATCCCCATCCTCGACAGGAATATGTGAGAGAACATGAGCTAAAAAAAGAGTTCACCCCAATTGGGGAATCGTATTCAAGCCTATATCGAAAGTTGATGCAGCTGAAGTTGATTGAACCTATCATGCCACATTATGTGAATCCAAGTTCAAAAGGTTTTGACTCCAATGCAAGATGTGAGTATCACTCTAACACCCAAGGTCATAGTACCGAAAATTGTTGGACATTAAAGAAAGCCATTGAAAATTTGATTGAAGCAAAGGCAATTGTGGTAACAAATAATGAGGATACTCCTAATATCATAAACAATCTGCTCCCAGCTCATGATAATACATATTTTATTGGGATGATTTATGATGATCGGGATTATAAGAAGTCTGGAAAGACAGAGATGGATGTTGGGACCATAGGGCAAGAACCAAAAGTGATAGTGAGCCCACCACAATTGGCACCGTTGATTGTGAAAGGTGCGAGTTCTAGTTTGAACTTGGTAGGTTCTGAAAAAATGATTCTCTATGTCCCTAGAAGCACAAAAAAGGTTGAGGTTCAATTGGGTGGGCCAAAACTTTACATCCCTGGGGGCATTCAAAAGATCGTTCCGAATAATAGTTTGAGAAATATAACAGAGCCAATTGTGATCCGACTTGTTGCAATAGTCCCAGTGACAAACACAAAACCTATTCCCTGGAATTATAACAAGACTGTCATGACATACAGAGAAAAAGAGATAGTTGAAGAAATAGATGAAATAGAGGGTTTGACCCGCTCTGGAAGGTACTACTCACCAGAGGAATTGAGAAAAGCTAAGCAAGCCAGGGAAAGTCACTTGCCAATGAAAGAACCCATTGCAGAAAAAGAAGGAGAGGAATTCCTTAAGAAGATGAAAATGGAAGACTACTCAATCATTGACCAACTAAGGAAAACCCCTGCTGAGATATCTTTGTTATCTCTGCTTTTGCACTCGGAAGAGCATCGCCGTGTGTTGATCAAAACTCCTAACGAGGCATATGTCTCAGAAAAGACAACAATTAATCAGCTAGAAAAAATGGCTGAAAGATTCTTTGAAGTAAATAGAATTACTTTCAGCGATGATGATTTGCCTGAGGAAGGGGCTGTGCACAATAGAGCTTTGCATCTTTTGGTGAAATGTGAAGGGCACTATGTAAAATGAGTCATGATTGACGGAGGCTCAATTGTAGATATATGCCTTTTTTCTACTCTACAACAACTGAACATTGACACTAACAGAATTCAGACTAGTAATGTCAGCATCAGATCTTTTGATGGTTCAAGAAGAGACACTATTGGGGAAATCGAACTCACCATGACAATCGGCCCGATTGATTTTAACATTATCTTTCAAGTGTTGGATATGGAGACTTCCTATAATTTTCTTCTGGGAAGGCCATGGATTCATATGGCCAGCGCTGTACCATCCACCCTACATCAAATAGTCAAATTCGAGTATGACAGGCAAGAAGTTGTTATTCATGCGGAGGACGACTCATCCGTCTATAAAGACATGTCCCTTCCATGTATCGAGGCCAAGGAAGGGTGTGAATCCATCATATATCAAGCTTTTGAGGTGATTGAGGTTGACCAAGTGGAAGAAGGAAAACTAATTCTGTATCCCTGTCTTTCAACCACATCCATGATAGCAGTTGCGCTGATGTTGAGGAATGACTATGAACCAGGAAAAGGATTAGGATCCTCTCTGCAGAGAATTGTGAACCCTATTGATCTTTTTTCGAAGAAAGATACCTTTGGCTTGGGTTTCAAACCAACATCAGCTGACACAGATAGAGCCAAGGCCCGCAAAAAGAATGGTTGGAATTTGTCCAAACCAATCCCTCACATTGCCTACTCTTTTGTCAAGCCACAATTTGAAGAAGTCCAAAATCCTGCTACTCAGGATGACATTGATGAAGTTTGCCAGGGTCTCAAAGAGATGTTCTATGAGATCAATATGGTTCAAGTTGGTGAGGGCCCTAGCCGTGCAAGTATTCAGTTGATTGGTCCAGATACCTCGCTCAATAACTGGGAAGTAACTCCTCTTCCCATTAGGAAGGAGTCTTGGTAGTCTGTTTTGTTGCTTTTTATGTATTTGGATTATTTTAAGGGTTGTAATCCAGATATTTTAGTTTAATTACTTTTCTTTGATGTTAACCCTTCTATCCTTTCTAATTCAATGAAGTGAAGTTCCAATTTTATAGTAAAATTATGTCTTTTTATTTCCCTAATTTTTGTTAATTTCTTATCATTTTCAGTTTCATTAATGCTGGTTTTAAAAATATGACATGCACACGAAATTCATGCCCAGATCTTAAAAAGCTGTCTAATCTAGAAATAATGAATCAAGAAGTTGAGTATGATGAAGATGAGGCTCTTAAGGAAATAAAAAGGGAATTGGATCAATTTGAGAATAAGCCTAAGCCTAACTTAAATGAAACTGAGGCAATTAACCTGGAAAGTCCTGAAGAAACCAGAGAAACAAAAATAAGCATTCATACTGAACAAAAGACTAGAGATGCCATAATTCAAGTTTTGTTCGAGTACAGAGATGTATTTGCTTGGTCGTATGATGACATGCCAAGTTNGCGGAATTCATGCCCAGATCTTAAAAAGCTGTCTAATCTCGAAATAATGAATCAAGAAGTTGAGTATGACGAAGATGAGGCTTTTAGAGAAATAAAAAGGGAATTGGATCAATTTGAGAATAAGCCTAAGCCTAACTTAAATGAAACTGAGGCAATTAACCTGGGAAGTCCTGAAGAAACCAGAGAAACAAAAATAAGCATTCATACTGAACAAAAGACTAGAGATGCCATAATTCAAGTTTTGTTCGAGTACAGAGATGTATTTGCTTGGTCGTATGATGACATGCCAAGTTTGAGTGCCGATTTAGTAGTTCATAAGCTTCCCACATACCCTAATTTTCCACCAATCCAACAAAAACAAATGAAGTTTAAGACAAACATGAGTGATAAGATTAAAGAAGAAATCACGAAGCAACTAAGTGCAAATGTGATCAGGGTCATCCGATATACTACATGGTTAGCAAATGTTGTGCCGGTTCCAAAGAAGGATGGGAAAATCAGAGTTTGTGTTGACTATAGGGATCTAAACAAAGCAAGTCCAAAGGACAACTTTCCCTTACCCAACATTCATATCCTTGTTGACAATTGTGCTAAACATGAGATCCAATTTTTTGTGGATTGTTATGCCGAGTATCACCAAATTCTGATGGATAAAGAAGACGCAGAAAAGACCGCCTTCACCACTCCATGGGGAACTTATTATTATAGAGTCATGCCATTTGGTTTGAAGAACGCAGGGGCAACTTACATGAGGGCCATGACTACCATATTCCATGACATGATACACAAAGATATTGAAGTGTATGTTGATGATGTGATCATTAAGTCCAGAACACAAGCTGACCATGTGCAAGACTTAAAAAAGTTCTTTGAAAGGCTACGAAGGTACAATCTCAAACTCAATCCAGCCAAATGAGCATTTGGAGTTCCTTCTGGGAAGCTTTTGGGTTTTATAGTTTGTCGAAGAGGCATTGAGTTAGATCCCTCCAAGATAAAGACCATTCGAGAGCTGCCTCCCACGAAGAACAAAATAGAAGTCATGAGTTTACTCGGGAGGTTGAACTACATCAGCAGGTTCATTGCGCAACTTACAACCACATGTGAGCCCATTTTCAAGTTGTTGAAAAAGAACGCCGCTATCAAGTGGACAGATGAGTGCCAAGAAGATTTTGATAAGATCAAGTAATATTTGTCAAATCCCCCTATTTTGGTCCCGCCGGAACCTGGAAGGCCTCTATTTTTATATCTGTCAGTAATGGATAGTTCTTTTGGTTGTGTTCTGGGTCAACATGATGCCACAGGCAAAAAGGAACAAGCAATATATTATTTGAGCAAAAAGTTCACCACCTATGAGGCAAAATACACTCTTTTAGAAAGGACATGTTGCGCCTTATCCTGGGTCGCCCAGAAGCTTAGGCATTATCTTTTGGCCTATACAACTTACCTCATATCCCAAATGGATCCCCTGAAGTACATCTTTCAGAAGCCTATGCCAACTGGAAGATTGGCAAAGTGGCAAATCTTGCTCACAAAGTTTGATATTGTTTATGTCACTCGCACTGCCATGAAGGCAAAAGCTTTGGCTGATCATCTGGCAGAAAACCGGTTGATGATGAGTATGAATCTTTGAACATATATTTCCCACATGAAGAGGTTAATTTAGTTGAAGAAGTAGTCCAAGATGACAGTCAAATTTGGAAACTATACTTTGATGGGGATGTCAACATCAAAGGCGTAGGGATTAGGGCAATTCTTGTATCACCTACTGGGCAACATTACCCTGCCACAGCGCGACTTCGTTTCTTCTATACAAACAACACGGCAGAATAAGAAGCTTGCATCATGGGTCTAAATATGGCAATAAACTTAAATGTGCATGAACTAATGGTGATGGGAGATTCAGATTTGCTTATTCGGCAGGCTCAAGGTGATTGGGAGACTTGAGACATCAAGCTCATTCTATATAGACAATGTGTGGAGGATTTTAGCAAAAGGTTCAAGTCCATCGAGTTCAGGTACGTTCCTACGTTTCACAATGAATTAGCCGATGCCTTGGCGACCCTAGCCTCAATGCTTCCATATCCGGGTAATACTCACATTGACCTACTAGAAATTCAAATTCGGGATCAACATGGTTATTGCAATACAATTAAAGCAGAACCAGATGGTGAACCATGGTACCGTGATATTAAACAGTTTCTAAAAACAAGAGAATATCCGGAACATGCTAATAGGAATAAAAAGAGAACTATTAGGCGTCTCTCTAATGGTTTCTTTTTGAGTGGGGAAATCCTATACAAAAGAACTCCAGATTTGAATTTGTTGAGATGTGTAGATGCCAAAGAAGCTGAAACGATTATGAATGAGGTGCATTCGGGAGTTTGTGGTCCGCACATGAATGGATATGTTCTAGCAAAGAAAATCCTTCGGGTAGGATATTATTGGCTTACTATGGAGCGAGATTGCTTTCATTTTGTTTGCAAGTGCCACAAGTGTCAAATTCACAGTGACTTGATTCACTCACCGCCTTCAGAGTTGTATCCTATGTCAGCTCCTTGGCCTTTTGTTGCTTGGGGAATGGACGTCATTGGCCCAATCGAGCCAAAAGCTTCAAATGGACACAGATTCATCTTGGTTGCAATTGATTACTTCACCAAATGGGTGGAAGCTATTACATGGAAAGCAGTTACCATGAAAGCAATAGTAGACTTTGTTCACTCCAACGTCATATGTCGTTTCGATATTCCAAAAACCATTATTACAGATAATGCTGCTAATTTAAATAGTCATCTGATAAAGGAGGTATGTGAACAATTTAAAATTGAGCATCACAATTCTATTCCTTACCGTCCCAAAGCTAATGGAGCTGTTGAAGTTGCGAATAAGAACATCAAGAAGATTCTTAGGAAGATGATCCGAGGGTCTAGACAATGGCACGAGAAACTGCCTTTTGCTCTTTTGGGATACCGGACAACTGTCCGTACATCAGTTGGCGCAACGCCCTACTTATTGGTTTATGGAATTGAAGCGGTCATACCTGCTGAAATTGAGATTCCCTCTCTCCGACTCATTGTTGAAGCAGGGATTAAGGACACTGAATGGGTGAAGTCCCGATTGGAACATTTGAGTTTGATTGATGAAAAGCGTTTGGCGGCAGTTTGTTTTGGTCAGTTATACCAACAAATAATGGCACGCGCTTACAATAAGAAAGTGTGCCCAAGATAATTCGAGGTAGGACAACTTGTTTTGAAACGTATCTTTCCGCACTAGGAAGAAGCAAAAGGAAAGTTCACCCCGAATTGGCAAGGTCCTTACCTCGTCAAGAAAGTATTTTCAAAAGGAGCTCTACACTTGGCAGATATAGAAAGAAAGGTGACTGATATATCCATCAGCGCAGATGCGATCAAGAGATACTATGTCTGACATGGCTCTGTTGGGGCATTCTTATATTTAGCATTCTCATGTTGGGATGATGAAAGGATATCATTCTCGCTACCCAAACACTGGTCAACCCTAGTTATCCCTTTGAAGCCTTGTTTATATTTCTTTGTTTTCCCCTCTTTTGGAACCAATG